TTACTACAGCCTACAGCAGCCCAGCTGACCATTTCTACTTAGTGCATAGCAATGCAAAAGTGCAGGTTGTCCACATAAACAATATGCAGGCACAGAATCACAGAGAATCAGAGAATCACGGAATCACAGAATGGCTCAAGTTGGAAGGGACCTCAAGGACCATGAATCTACAAGTCCCCTACCACACGCAGGGCCACCAACTTCCCCATTTAACACTAGGCCAGTTTGCTCAGGGCCCCATCCAATGTGGCCTTGAACACCTCCAGGGATGGGGCATCCACAACCTCTCTGGGCAACCTGTTCCAGCACCTCACCACTCTCTCTGTAAAGAACTTCCCCCTGACATCCAACTAAATCTTCCCTCCCTCAACTTATAACCATTTTCCCTCATCCTGCAGTTATCAACCCTTTCAAAGAGTTGATTCCCCTCCTGTTTGTAGGCTCCCTTTAGGTACCGAAAGGCTGCAATGAGGTCACCCCGCAGCCTTCTTTTCTCCAGGCTGAACAAGCCCAGCTCCCTCAGCCTGTCCTCATAGGGGAGGTGCTCCAGCCCCCTGATCATCTTTCTGGCTCTCCTCTGGACCCTCTCCAACAGCTCCCTGTCTTTCTTGCGCTGGGGACTCCACACCTGGACAGTACTCCAGGTGGGCCCTCACAAGAGCAGAGCAGAGCAGGACAATCACGTCCCTGTCCCTGCTGGCCACCCCTCTTCTGATGGAGCCCAGGATATCATCTGCTTTTCGAGCTGCAAGAGCACACTTTTAGCTCATGTTAAGCTTTTCATCTATCACGACCCCCAGGTCCTTCTCTGCAAGGCTGCTCTCAAGGACTGCTCCTTCCAATCTGCATGGATGCCTGGGATTCCTCTGGCCCAAACGCAAAACCTTGCACTTTGCCGTGTCAAACCTCATCAGGTTCACCCAGGCCCACCTTTCAAGCCTGTTGAGATCCCTCTGAATGGCATCCCTTCCTTCCACCATGTCAACCGCACCACTCAGCTTGGTGTCATCAGAAAAGTTGCTGAGGGTGCACTCGATTCCATCATCGATGCCACTGATAATGATGTTAAGCAGCACCAGTCCCAAGACAGATGCCCTGCGGGATGCTGGCCTTCATCTGGACATAGAACCATTGATGACCTCCCTGTGTCTGCAGCCTGTTAAACAATTTCTTATCCATTGAGTGGCCCACCCATCAAATCCACATCCCTCCTATTCAGAGATAAGGATGTGGTGGGGGACCGTGTCAAAGGCCTTGCTCCAGTCCAGGTAAATGACACTGGTTGCCTCTCCTTGTCCACCAGTGCCGTCACTCCATCACAGAAGGCCACTAGATTGGTTAAGCATGACCTTCCCCTGGTGAAGCTGTGCTGGCTCTTGGATCACATTCCTCATGTGATCAAGCATGTCATGCAGGAGGATCTGCTTCATGATGTTCCCAGGTAAAGAAATGTGATTGTCAGCCATAGGAATTGCCTCCAGCTGCCAAAAAAATACAGGTCACATAGTAGGCACATTTGAACCCTATGTAAAGGATCATCAGTTGGAACTTAACAAAAAAAAAAACAACACTTCCCTTTTAGTCAAGACATACGAACCCTGTCTTAAACATAAAATCCATAAGATCTGAAAGTAAAATGCAATGTTTTGTGAAATGAAGTAAAATAAACACACCATTTATAATCTAATGGTTACTTTCTTTGTTATTTTCATTATTTTTTTTATAAATTGAATAGGTTAGTCAAGCTTTTAGTGTCTAGATCCAATGAGAAACTATTATTTGCATTAACAGCTAAATGATATATTACTTAACAAAAGTGAAAAGCTTGATCAATGAACTGCATTTTACTCTAGTGCACAGAAAAGGGTGAACTTGGCATTTTCTACTTGGTTCACTACTACTATTTCACACAAACTGAAAATAAGTAGTTGTTAGAACTTAAGTGGATTATACTCACAGGCAAGCATAACTAATTTGGTGATCCTAAAGAATTCAATTATAACCTTCAGGTATGCATGTGTGACTCTGTTTCTATATAGAGAATATGAATATATTCTGAATATAGATGTTAGACAAACTCAGTAGTTCTACCTTAGTTTGAATTGGAGATATTCAAGACCTGCGTGGACACCTACCTGTGCAGCCTGACCAAGGGAGCCTGCTTCGGCAGAGGGTTAGACTGGATGATCTCTAGGGATCCCTTCCACCCTCTACAACGCTGACTCTTCTTCAAGCCAGCTAGCAGCGTGGCAGGAGAGATGCTGTCAAACGGCATTCAAGTAATAATATATCATCAACAACATTTTTGTTTACTTAGTGCTTGCTTAGAGCAATTTTCTGCAAACCACATAAGCACATAGCTAAATTCACATGGCAGCAAGATGAATACAAATACAGTTGAGCATAGTACTCCCTCATTTTCATTGTTTCAGTTTTTGTTTTGAGTGTCTCTATTAATGTACAGGAAACTGCCCACAGAGCATAGTTTTATATCTTCTATGTTTAAGATGTTGGTTGACATTTTAACCAACAGTATTTACAGTAACAACACTGCAAGAAAAAGATGAGATCAAGAAAAATTAATTTGGTACAGCATAAACCAGCTTTCTAATTTGAAGATGTATATATACGTATTATACCTCTGTGAAAGCCAAGTGTTCAGCATTTGCAATAGAAAAACACCCCTAAAGGGTTATTCAGTAAATAGGTAACTTTGGTGATTAAGGCTAAATTAATTGCTGTGATGTTATGAAAGAAATTAAAACCCAGAAGAATTAAAAATGAATTCATGTCTATAATGCCAATAGAGAAAATGCTAGAAGACTAGTATTTGAGTTTATTAGTGGAAAGAATTATGCGTGGGATGCTTAGACCTTGAGCAGATAAATATTCTATCACAATGCACAGCACTGGTAAGCAATCTTTTAATATTTATTGAATGGGACCATAACTACATATATATTTGTAGATTCTCGTGTCATCAGTGATAGGACCAGGGGAAATGGTTTCAAGCTACGGCAGGGGAGATTCAGGCTGGACATGAGGAAGTATTACTTTTCAGAAAGGGTGGTCAGGCACTGGAATGGACTGCCCAGGGAGGTGGTGAAGTCACCGACCCTGGGGGTGTTCAAGGAAAGACTGGATGTTGTGTTGAGGCACATGGTTTAGTAGGAGCTATTGGGAATAGGTGAACGGTTGGACTGGGTGATCTTTTAGGTCTTTTCCAACCTTGGTGATTCTATGATTCTATGATTCTTTTTTAAGGTTGACAACAGCAGCTCTTCAGAAAGAACACCAAGCAGATAGTAAGGCTGTACAAGATGGAGAATTATAGAAATAGAATTAGAACAAAGACGTCAGTTTCATCTGCTGTGATAACGCCTACATATCATCCCTGACATTACGCTTTGCCTGAACACACCAAATGGTATAATCAGTGGTAATGTAAGAGACCACAGCATTTACCCACAGCTAGTCACTGCAGTCAATAAAAATCACGGTATGGATCAATTTACAAAGAACCAACTCACAATGCTTGCCATTTTCCCTAACAAAATGTTTCTCCATCAATTCAACATTGTGGGCTCAATCTCAACACGTAGTGTTTCATAAAATGATTTACTAATAGAAACCTATATCTTGCCAGTTCAATGAAGGATCAACAGAATTGTCATGGTTTTATCTCTAGATCTGCATCCATGACAGGGGATCAGCTCAAAAGGGCAAAGAAAGGAAAGGAATGAAAGAAAAAAAACCAAACAAACCCAGCAGCAACTTACTCTAGTAATTACAGTAACAAAATACAAGTCAATTGAGATTGAAGCTAATAAATATCAAGTAAAAGGGAGTGAGTTTCTGAAAACCCAAATTCTTATTCTCATTTGCCAAGGAGCAAAAAAAAAAAAAAAAAAAAAAAAAAAGGCAGTCTCTCAAGACTTCCAGTCAGTTTTATCTTTCCCTCCTCCCTGGGACAGGATGAAAAGGCAAAGTCTTCTGGGAATCATGGCTCATTCTTCTCTTCCAAGACAGCAGCATTAACCCTTTATCTCCCAGTGCACTACATGATGTTATGATACTGCTAATGAACCACAAAACCATGACAAGTGTGCAGCTTCCATCAGTATGACCACGCTAAGTCTATTGATATACAGATATACATAACAGTAAGATACATGTTATCTCACCTTGTTGAGAAAAAGTGTTTGATATTCATTATATTTTGTCAGTAGCAGTGAATAGTAGATTGTTGAAAGCTGCTAATGAATTTTACAGAAGCTATGGGAACACTTCAATGAAGTCAGGTGTCAGTAAACTGATAAGCTTGGTTTCCAATGGACACAGTCTAAACAGTAACAAGTCTTTACTGTGTCTCAGTGAGATCTGTTCCTAACCTACAAAGTGCTGACAATACGCAATTTTCTAATACCCTGTATTTCCTCTACATTGGACATAATTTAATGCCAGAGAATCATAATTCTGATATTGCAAATACTGATGTGCAATACTATCAAAACTGAAACAATGAAGTACATATAGAACAGCTTTACGTGGAAAGTGTGTGTGCAATTACAGAGCTTGACCTCTTTGGGATTACAGCAATGTGGTGAACAGCTTACACAACTTGAGTGTTGCAACAGTGGACACAGGCTCTTAGGAAGCAAAGGGTGGGGAAGCAAAGAGGAAGTATCACACTCCACATGAGAGCAGATGAAGTTCTGGAAGCTTTATACGTTCCGGAACAGGTCAAGAGACTACAAACCCAAATAGCAGGCAGACTAACATAAGTGGCTTTGTAGTTTGTACTGCTGAAGATTATGTTACCAAGAAGAAGTGCCGAATTTAAAATTCCAGAGATAAAGAAAACCCAACAACTTACATAACCACCCCCCACAAAAAGTATGTTATCAGTGCTTGAACACTGAACAGGTGTATTTTAATCATGTCATTTATAGATTAGACTGATTAAAACAGGTAAGACACCACATTTGTATACTTCAAATATTTATTAAAGCAAACAACTTTGTTGATAAAACGTGTTTATCATTAGAAAAGATTGACAACAAAAATAGCTTTGTGGATATATTTTTTACAGATTTTGCAGAATAAGATAATTGCATAGATTTCACAGTGCTTCTTTACTGTCTAAAATAGCTTAACTTCCTGAAGTACCTTCAGTGTTATTAGGAACGCTTACGTTTGTACCAACTACAGTAGAGAAAACAATACAAATAAAACAGACACTGTATTTTATGACTTAATGGAATAAATAATCTTCAAGTCAAAAACAAATTTTTTTCAAACAAAATTAAATAATGCAGCCTTACTCTTCTTGTTCTGAAGATCACAAAAATTGTTCAAAAGTTCTACAAAATCTCCATGATGACCTGTCTTGCTTGTCAACTTCTATTTAGCTAGAAAAATTCTGAAATATATCCGCGCCCTCAAGCCAGTTCCGAAAACAGGATAGCCCTTTGTCTCTGATCTGTTTTCTTCCTTTGTCAGTAATGACTTCTCCACTTTGTTTCACAATCACCAGTTTAGGAATTGCTGTTATGTTGTATTTCTTCTTCAGATCGCTGAGAGAAAAAAGTTAAAGACAACATTAGGGATCATTCTAGGAAAACACCTAATTTCTTGTGAAAGGTACGCTGGTTAATTACACATGTCAGAGCAGAAGCAATGACCATCCAGACTCTTCAGAGTTTGAGGCATAGTACTGGGTAGTGTGGAGAGATAGAGAAGGCCCAACCAGAACTGAGCAATTACCTGGTGAAACTTTAGCTAAGGGAGCAAGGAAAGATGAAGAAACCTTCCCATCGCTGCTCTTCATCACTGTCTGTAGCCTCCAGAGAAGTTGAAATTGAATCTTATGGACTATAAAGAGGTCAATTATAGTGTGACATATCCTTCCACTCTATTTTTATTAGCCAGAACTAGTTGTCTCTTTTTGCTGGCTAGGATAAAATACCTTACCTAAATTAGCATTAGCTATTTACTCCAGAATAGAGATGTTGTAATAAATCAAATTTGTAAAGGAGCATGGTACATAATACTTGAAGCAGAAAAAAAAAACAAAACGGAAAAACACATTAAATTCCTTCAATAACACAAGCTGAAATCTCAACAGAAGAAAAACTGGCAAGAAAGGCCACATATTACCAACAGTGATCATTTCTTGAAATCAGGATATGGAAAAATCTGGACAGATTACAAGTAACTTGCAGTCAACAAAACAATTAACTGCAGGTGAAAAAATTAAAAAGCCATACAGCAGCAATGCTCCATACTGATAGAGTAAATAACTCAAGAAAAACTAGAGACGACTTCTGAAAGACAGAAAGACACACAATCACAGAATTGTAGGGGATGGAAGGGACCTCAAGAGATCATCTAGTCCAACTCCCCTGTCAAAGCAAGCTTCCTAGACCAGGCTGCACAGACAGACATCCAGGTGAGTCTTGAACATCTCCAGAGGAGACTCCACAACCTCTTTGGCCAGCCTGTTCCAGTGTTCTATCACCCTTACTGTGAAGAAGTTCTCACATGCATTTGTGCAGAACTTCCTATACCCCACTTTGTGGCCACTTCCCCTTGTTCAATCACCACACACCACTGAAAAGAGTATGGCCTCATCCCTTTGCCTCTCACAACCTAGATATTTTTAGACATTGATCAGACCCCCCCCCTCCCCCCAAGTCTTCTTTTCTCATGGCTGAACTGACCCAGGATGCTCAGCCTTTCCACATAAGAGAGGTACTCCAGACCCTTTATCTTTGTGGCTCTCTGCTGAACTCTTTCCAGGACACCCCTGTCTGTTTTGCACCGAAGAGACCAGAACTGGACACAGTACTCCAGGTGAGGCCTCACCAAGGCAGAACAGAGAGGGAGAATCATTTCTGTAACTTCCGTTCACCTGCTGGCCATGGCTTTTTTTTCTTTTTTTAATATATGTGGCTCATGGCCAACCTTTCATCCACCATTCATCCAGGTCCCTCTCTGCAGAGCTCCTCTCCAGCAAATCATCCTCCAGCCTGTACAGATGCATGCTTTATTCCTCTACACTTGCTTTTGTTAAAGCTCATCTGGGCCCACCTTGCCCAGCTCTCCAGCCTTTCCAGATCTCGCTGAATGGCAGCACAGCTTCCTGGTGTGTCAGCCATTCCTCCCAGATTCTTATCACAGCATTCCCTCATCAAGGTCACTGATGAAGACGCTGAACAAGACTGGAGCCAGAACCAACCCTTGGGGAACACAGGCCTCCAACTGGACTCTGCACCACCAATCACAATCCTCTGAGCTTGGCCAGTTAGACAGTTCTCAATCCACCCCACCATCCACTTATCTATCCCACACTTCCTCAGCTTCATTATAAAGATGTTGTGGGAGACATTATCAAACACCTTGCTGAAATCCAGGTAGACTGCATCCACTGCTTTCTCCTCCCATCCACCCAGCCAGCGATGACACTGTAGAAGACTACCACGTTGGTCAAGTATGACCTCCCATGCTGACTACTCCTGATAACCTTCTTCTCCTCCAACTGCTTTGAGCTGATGTCCAGAACAAGCTACACCATCATGTTTCCACAGACAGAGGTGAAGTTGACAGGCTTGTACTTTCCTGGATCCTCCTTCTTGCCCTTTTTGAAGACTGGAGTGACACTGGCTATCCTCCAGTCTTCAGGCACCTCTCACATTCTCTAAGACCTCTCAAAGATAGTTCAGCAATCACCTCTGCCAGCTCGTTCAGGCCATGTGGATGCATACCATCAGTGCCCAGGGATTTACGTACATTGATGTTGCCTAGACACTCTGACACCATCTCCTCCCTCAGGAAAGGGAAGCCTTCCATTCCCTAGACTCTCTCACTTACCTCCAGGGTCCATGATTCCCATGGGGGAGTCTTTTCAATCTGTTTGGTTTGCTTCTTCCACTCAAGATGCTGAACTCTATCATCTCTTGATCACTACATCCAAGGTGCCCCTGACCTTCACTTCCTTATCAAGCCCATCCTTATTAGTAAGAACAACATCCTGTAACACCCCCACCTCTCATCTGTTCCTCCACCACCTGTATCAGAAAGTTCTATTCAACAGTGCAGGAACTGTCTGAACCACACGTGCCTGGCCATGTTGCTTATCCAACAAATATCTGGATAACTGAAGTCTCCCATAAGAACTAGCGCCTGGGATCTACGAGCAGCTGGAAGTAGCCTCGCGAAGATCTCATCAATTTCCTTCTTCTGATCAGGGGGCCTATAATACTCACACACAACAGTGTAACCCATACTAGCCTGCCCCTTAATTCTCAGCCACAAGCTCACCACTGCTACATAACCCACCCCCAGGTGGAGTTCAATACATTCTAGCTGCTCTCTCACATAAAGAATAACTCCACCACCTCACCTAGCCAGCCTGTCTTTCCTAAAAAGCACATAGCCCTCCATGACAGCATTCCAGTCACGTGAACTGTCCCAGAGCATCTCCATGACTGCAATGAGATCCATGGCCTTGCAACCACACAAAGATTTCTAACTCTTCCTGTTTATTTCTCATGCTGTGTGCATTACTATACAGAAACATTAGGGAAGCAGCAGGTCCAAGTATCCCTAAAGGGATGCAAGAAAATTTCAGGTGTGGAATTTGCAACATATTCTTCTGAGGAGTTCTCACAAGATCCTACATGACAATCCAGAGATTTTTCCCTGCACTATCCTAGAACAACATCCCTTGGCCTAGCCCTTCTCTTTCCCACTGACTTCCATTCTCCTGGAGCAGGATCCCCTTTCAACCTGAAGACATGTGAGACCAATCCACAGCCATCAGGCCAAGCGCCAAGTAAACCTCCCCACAGTCAAAGATCCCAAAGCTTCTGATGCAGCACCAGTCTTTCAGTCACTTATTCTCAGTTTTCCCAGCCCACTCTGTCTTTCACCACATCCCAGAAGGGAGAGAAAAAATACTACATGCACTCCCACTCCCTCAACCAATGGCCCTAATGTCTTCTGATAAATCGCAGGCATCCCTGAGCAACTTCATAACTGCTTGCCTGAACTATCAACATCTATCTGCTTTACAGAAAATGACTGTTTTGCACTCTTTTCCAAAGTGGGCCGAAACTGAGCACCAGAAAAGCCAGACAGTGGCGACACAGCAAGCAATACTGGAACACAATCCCAGAGCCCATCCATCATCCCAGAGCCCATCCATCATCCCAGAGCCCATCCATCATCCCAGAGCCCATCCATCATCCCAGAGCCCATCCATCATCCCAGAGCCCATCCATCATCCCAGAGCCGCCCAAGTTGGAAGGGACTTCAAGGACCATGAATCTACAAGTCCCCTACCACACGCAGGGCCACCAACTTCCCCATTTAACACTAGGCCAGTTTGCTCAGGGCCCCATCCAATGTGGCCTTGAACACCTCCAGGGATGGGGCATCCACAACCTCTCTGGGCAACCTGTTCCAGCACCTCACCACTCTCTCTGTAAAGAACTTCCCCCTGACATCCAACTAAATCTTCCCTCCCTCAACTTATAACCATTTTCCCTCATCCTGCAGTTATCAACCCTTTCAAAGAGTTGATTCCCCTCCTGTTTGTAGGCTCCCTTTAGGTACCGAAAGGCTGCAATGAGGTCACCCCGCAGCCTTCTTTTCTCCAGGCTGAACAAGCCCAGCTCCCTCAGCCTGTCCTCATAGGGGAGGTGCTCCAGCCCCCTGATCATCTTTCTGGCTCTCCTCTGGACCCTCTCCAACAGCTCCCTGTCTTTCTTGCGCTGGGGACTCCACACCTGGACAGTACTCCAGGTGGGCCCTCACAAGAGCAGAGCAGAGCAGGACAATCACGTCCCTGTCCCTGCTGGCCACCCCTCTTCTGATGGAGCCCAGGATATCATCTGCTTTTCGAGCTGCAAGAGCACACTTTTAGCTCATGTTAAGCTTTTCATCTATCACGACCCCCAGGTCCTTCTCTGCAAGGCTGCTCTCAAGGACTGCTCCTTCCAATCTGCATGGATGCCTGGGATTCCTCTGGCCCAAACGCAAAACCTTGCACTTTGCCGTGTCAAACCTCATCAGGTTCACCCAGGCCCACCTTTCAAGCCTGTTGAGATCCCTCTGAATGGCATCCCTTCCTTCCACCATGTCAACCGCACCACTCAGCTTGGTGTCATCAGAAAAGTTGCTGAGGGTGCACTCGATTCCATCATCGATGCCACTGATAATGATGTTAAGCAGCACCAGTCCCAAGACAGATGCCCTGCGGGATGCTGGCCTTCATCTGGACATAGAACCATTGATGACCTCCCTGTGTCTGCAGCCTGTTAAACAATTTCTTATCCATTGAGTGGCCCACCCATCAAATCCACATCCCTCCTATTCAGAGATAAGGATGTGGTGGGGGACCGTGTCAAAGGCCTTGCTCCAGTCCAGGTAAATGACACTGGTTGCCTCTCCTTGTCCACCAATGCCGTCACTCCATCACAGAAGGCCACTAGATTGGTTAAGCATGACCTTCCCCTGGTGAAGCTGTGCTGGCTGTCTTGGATAACATGCTCATTAGCATAGGCATTAGCATATTAGACATCATCTGTTCTCACTGAAACAAGGAGAAGCCTTTAAAATCCTACGTGAAATACAGGACCAGAGAAAGCATTCCTAAAGTATGTCTTTCCTTCTCATTTTTTTTTTTTTTGCAAGAAAAACCTTAAACAGCTGCTTTGCCAGCTAATTAGCAGCAATTTTTAGCAGAGAAACAATAATAAGATCTAGCATCATAGGCTTGTTCAGACAACTCTGAATTAAAACCAGCTACCAAGGAAATCCAGAGACAGTTTTCAAGTCTCCTAAAATGAAGGAAAAAATGAAAAAAAACAACGATCCAAAGCAAATTCATGTAAAGAGAATGTAAAATGTTATCATCTCATATCAGTGGTAAAGTAAACAAGATGGAAGATGCACTGTATTGCTTCAGCGGACAATCAAATAGTTTATGACGCCTAACTCAATTGTAGCACCGGCAGAACTGTGGAAACTGAAAGTAATTTGCCACCGAGACTGGAAATAACAGTTTGCTTTCCTAAGAAATATGTACCCCTGTACAATATCTTGTTTATGCAGCCCTGGACAGAAGGTTGCTTGCATCAAACCAGACTGAAGCATGCACACAGATTCTGCTTACATTTGTGTGTAGGTGGTTGTATGACTAGAAGAACGCTCAAGAATGGATCTGCAGATATCACTTCTTCATCACCATGGATGTGTTAGAGGTGTTCACAAAAGCATTTTAAAGCCTGTTAGATCACCTATGGGGATCTCAGACGCTGTGACTCAGCTGTACAAAGAACATCAGACGAACTAACAATGACAGTTTAATCACTAGTTGTAAACATCCTGTGCCTCAAAGGAAAACTCAATTTTCTTGCAATACATTGAAGTGATAAGTAATGACATTTTTAAGTATCAGCTGAAAGAAGATATTCCCAGGTGAAGCCTACAGGTATGTACTGTTTCTCGCTGAGAAGAGAAATCTAAAATCCAAATTGCTGCAGAAGAGAAAGCTATAAAAAAGGATAGCTGGGGAAAACTAGATGAGTAGCCTTTTCATAGTTAAAGAATATTTTAGCAAAATCTTTGAAAATGTTACTTTTTGGCCATGCAAGATGCCAACATAACACAAGATGACAACTTTCATTCACATACGAAATACATGAGAAAGATTATTTAAGGATCCTGGAAGTCACTGAAATTTGTTAGGCCTTTGATTTTTAGGAGAATCTTATTGAGGAATGTTTCCGAGGGTACAAAGGTTTTACAGTATAATGCACTGATTTTAGACTATGGTAGAGCTTATTTCCTTCTGTATAATCAAGATGCTATAATTACAATATAATTGTATAATCAATAGATATCAAGATGTTATAATTACAATATAATCAAGAGAATTAGGCAAAGTAAACAACGATCACAAAAGAGAATTAGTGGAAGAGCTTACCTTCGGCTGAGCTCACTAGAAGACACCAAGAGGGGTGATCTCCAGAAGAGATCCTTCCCCTCTGGTAGGCAGCTCTTAAATAGGTCTAGGAGGGGTGGAGCCTGGCTGCACCCCTTCCGGCAGCACAGGTGAATTGCCTTCACCTGTGCTCCTCTGGCTGACTCATGGCTCACCTCAGGTGATCAATCAGAGGTTCAGGCCGTGACTCAGCAGTTCCCATACACCTTCATAGAAACCCATACAGTGCTAAGATTTGCATCTGGGGCTAGAACAGTATTGGTAATAACACACCATTGTTTTACCTATCGCTAAGCAGTACTTACACAGTCAAGTCTGTGTCTGTCATACTGTCCTGCCAGTGAGGAAGCTGAGAGTGGGTGAGAGTTTCATAAAAGATATGGCTGAGACAGTGAATCATAACTAATCAGAGGAATCTCCCAAACCACATAACAGAGTCAGCAATAAAAGCTGGGAGAAAGAAGGAGAAAGTGGGGGGACATTTAGATTTCACTGGCATTGTCATCTTCTCATCACGTGTAATAAATTCTTGCTTCTCTACAAATGGTTCAACATCTGCCTGCTGATAGGATGTAGTAACTGAATTCCTTATTTTGCTTTGTTTGTGGATGCAGTTCTGCTTCATCTTTTAAGCTGTCCTTATTTCAACCCTACTTCAGCAAGTTCCTTCCTCTCAAATTAATCCCTCTAGCCTCCACTGTGGAGGTGGAAAGGCAGTTAAGCAAGCAAGCAGCAAGTGGTGCTTGCCGCTTACCGGAGTTAACATAAGTGAATAATTTTATATGACAATTTAAGATCTATACATAAAAGGGTTCTTAACAGACAGACAACACATGACGAAGTTAATATCATAATGGAAACATATGCAAGACACTCATTCACTAGGTTAAAGGGATATTTAACAGCCCTTCAGTTTTAACAGCTTTCACTTGTCCAGTTTTTTTCAAGCAAAAGTACTTCCATCTTGCTACGCTGCCTCTAGTAGTATATGCTGTAACCCACAGCCACGTGTATTTTCTTTCAGCAGTGAAATTACGCACTAAAGTCACCAGCTAGAACACTAACTTCATTGTTGGCTTTGAGAGAACACAAGAGAGAAATCAACTTGAATGACTTACAATGGAATTTTTATAAGGTTAATGAGTGAAGCTTGATAAATACACAAAATGTTAGAATACCAACTTGATATAAGTTGAATTTAAAATTGTGTTCTTACTTAGAACAGAAATAAATGGCCAGAATAAGTCAGATGCACTTGTAAAATGTTTACAGTGATTCATAAATATCTCTGAAGCCGAACTGCCAGCTAATTCAAAGCTTCTTAAGCATTTTCACACAACTCTTTGTTGTAAGCAAGGAACAGCTTCAAAATCATTTTATTTTCCTATTTCTCCATACTTTGTACTTCCATTATACATTTTGAAAACTAGTCTCACAAACCCCCACTGACTGCACAAACCATATTTCGCTACAGGTACCTGAAGGTCACTAGAGACTAGAGGAAAGCTGATCAGGTTGCCTCCATTCCTCCATTTCACATGACTTGGACAAGTCATGACACAGTTCAAAATAGAACCCTAATCCACTGACTCTGAAGCTGTAAGCACATTCCAGTCACCTGTGCCAAACAGCTTGCTGGATGGAGTGATTTCAGGTATTACATTTTCTTCAGGAAGTTGGCCCAAATTCTACCAGTGTTAGCAGTTACTGAATACAATTACTGCCTGGGAAGCATTTGGAGAGCTATGAAAAAGTATTTTTAAATCTATTTCTGAGTTCATGGAAATTGCTATGAAAAAACAAAGACACAGCATTAAATAGATTTTTTATAGCATTAAGTGACATCCAGGAATGATCCAAGGAAGGATGACCTAATCCCTGGGATCAGGCTGTTTACTCTTGAGCTTGTCAAAGTACACTGAAGAAGCAACTTGTTATGTCCTGACTTCACTGACTGAAACATCACTGTTCTTATAGGACAAGATATGGACCACCTGTACCTTTACTTTCATTATTTAATACATTTTTATGAATATGCAACTTTACACAAATAAACTAAATCTACTGCTTTACCTAATACAAAGCTAAAAAACATTTTCAGCCTTCAGAAATTTCAGTGCCCTCCCCCCCCTCTCCAGTACCTTCTGTGTGCCCCTTTAATCTATAATTCTTCAGAGGAACCAAATCATATTTCTGGGTAGTCAAAACGTATATATATCTTTAATTTCTGTCACCATAACAATCCTTGTTATTGTCCCTCACCCTACTCTTCAAACATGTTCATGTCTCCTCCTTTTGTTGCTCTGCTGAGCAAACTGCCTACAGTAATGCCCATTTAAAAATATATTACCACAGGAATTTTTTGTCCCTTTTTTATCAGCTGAATTTGTTTTTTTACCAAGCTGCGTATCTCAAGTTGTTTATAAACATGCCTTAACCCTGCAGGCAACTCAGCACCACACAGCCACTTGCTCATTATCTCCTGGTGGGGTGGGGCAGAGAATCATAAAGATAAGCAATACAGTAATTCATAGGTTGAGAAAAAGACAGTTTTCTATGGAAAGCAAAAGCCATGCACACCAGCAAAGCAAGACAAGGAATTCATCTGCTGCATCTCATCAGCAGGCAGGAGAACAGGGTCATCAGAGGTAACCGCTTCCTGGGAAGGCAAACGCCATCACTTTGAATGCCCTGCCTTCTTACCTCACCCCAGTTTTCACTACCATACACGGTATGTGAAACCCATTTGGCTATCATGGGTCAGCTCTCCTGGCTCCTTGTGCATTCCTGCTGTCAGGGCAGAAGTAGAAAAGTCATTGACTTCGCACAAGCACTGCCCTGTAACAACTTAAAACATCTGTGTCCTATCACCGTTTCCATCAAAAATCCAAAGTACATTATCATGCAAACCTCTATGAAGAAAATTAACTCCATCCCAGCCAAAGCTACGGCAACAGTCTGCTCTCCTTACAGTTCATCAGCAACGAGTTTTGCTACTCCTTCACTCTTATTTCTTTCCAGAGCACGACCAAATCGGGCAACCCAGAACTATAGCTGTGCTGGAAAAGCCCTGGATAGAGAGACAGCAGCAGCCTCGCCCAGAGGACAGGATGATGGAAGCAGCAGAGGGCTGACGCGGCCAAACTCCCGCAGGACAGGAAGCACGACCTGGAGCTGCCATAGCACCAATCGGGGCTGCACAAGGGCCAGCCAGAGGTATGGGAAAGTCCTTATGCCGAAGAGGGGGATGCGAGCCGGCCCCCGCTGTACTCACTGCTTGTAGGGGTCGTGGAAGGGCAGAGCCAGCCAATTGCCGTGCATGGAGCGCATGTAGCCCACCATTTCCTCGGCGCTGTGGTCAGAGGAGATGAAGACGACCTCGAATGGCGCTGGCGGCTGGCTTTCCTCCAGCAGCTCCGTATAGAAGTCGCAGAGCACGGGGGTGAAGTCGCGACATGGCGAGCACCAGCCGGCCGAGAAGTAGAGTCCTACCACCTTGTTCTGCAGTGCCTCCTCAGGGTCCACGCTGCGGCCGTCCTTGCTGACCAGCAGCCGCCCGCTGAACACGTCCACCATGCTGCCTCTGGGGGGGACACAGCGGAGCAAGGTGCGGCACAGGGGCGGTGAACGCGTACACTCCGGGGGCTGCACTGGGCTTGGGTACTCAGGGCGTCTGGAGAAGCATCTCGACACACATGTAAAGCTCCCCCCACACGCACACCCTCACCGTCTGCATCAGCTTCACGACCACAGAGTCCGTCCCTTACGTCTGCGCTCTATATACAGACAGCAGAACTGGCCAATGGCCGCGGCAGGAGGGCGTGGCCGTGCCCCTCCCCCGTAGGTGCTGAGGGATGGCGGACGCCAGGGGGCCGGGTGACGGAGGGTAGTGCTTGTGCTGCAAGGCGGGGGAATCGTCCCCAAGAGCTGAAAGCAACTTTTCACCAGGGCGAAAGTCGCATCCCCGTCAGCTTTAGAAAACTTGTAAAGTTTGATTAAAGGGACATGGTTGGGGACGGTAACCACACGTGGCACACTGTGTCATGTTCAATAATTGCACCGCATTCTGTTGGAAGAGAATATACCTTAAGCCAAAACTGACTAATACAAGTGCTGCTATTTCTTTTGGATACTTAGAGCTCAAATTACGGAGCTACTTCTACAGAAAACATTACACATTAAAACTGGCCTTCACAGTTGCTGGTCCTACTTTTTCAGCTGCGGACCCTCAAAAATGTATTCTTTTTTGGGAAAAGACAGAGTTGTGATCAAAGTACATCATGACTGAAGTACCGAAAACCAGTACTAATCATAATAAGTATGTAGTTTGGCAACAGAGTCCTCGGGGAAGGACTTACACAGATGTCTCCCAACCATCTGCTATAGAACTGCAATATCAGAAGTCAAATCATAGAATCATAGAATGGCCTGGGTTGAAAAGGACCACAATGATCATCAAGTTTCAACTCCCCTGCTATGTGCAGCATAAATGTTCAGATCTAATCTGTTACAGGAAGAAACTGAAGACAGGCCCCTCAACCCTTCCTTCTGAGGTCTCTTTGAAGTGTTTTTTTCCCCCCTTGACTTGGTCAGTTACTCTCACTTTTTGTCTTGAGACAATGAGAGAAGGAATCTCTTAAAAAAATGAGCAGAAATAGCACTGCAATATTATTTCTATGTGTGTTTTTATAACTGTTTAGATGGATCAGTTTGATTTGAGGCATGCAACCACATGTCAGTTTTTACTGCTTTTTTTCTATTATTGCAGGAGTCAAGGATAATACCAATTAAGTGCTAATGAAAAGATGGCTTGTTCTTGTGCAGAACTTAATGCACCTTTAAAAAAGCGTAATTGAGAGGTTAGAATTGTTATTCTTTTACAAATTATTTATGTATATTTAAATTAATCCTTCAGAATCAGGACCTTTTTACTTATGATCTCATATCTGACTAACTTGTAATCACTGTTCTGTTACTTCGCTGAACAAAAAAAAAAGAATTATTGCATGGGCATTTGGAAAATGTTTTTTATTCAAATACAGCTTTCATCCATTTTCACGGACTGCTTTTGGCTTCAAATCCAAGTGTCTTTTCAAAATAGAAGTAGCATTTGAAACAAAGTAATCCCCATATCTCTTATAAATCATTTCTCCAAGTTTTGAATTCAGTTTTTGATGTCCTCCTTCAGGCTTCCACCGGATATTCAAAGGAGAAGATTAAAGTAGCTGTGGAAAGTTGCTTTTTAAAATGACACAGAAAGTAAGTTTAACTAAACTGACCCTTCAGCTAAAGCTTTTGCTCTACTGTCTGCCTTTCTGAGACTACCTGTGAAAAAGGACAGAGAGAGAGGGCCTTTGGAGAACTGGGGAATCACAGGAAAACATAAAAATATTCCCATAAACGTTCAGGCTATCACAGGGTCACTATTAACATCCCCACCAATATGTCCTACCAGTAAAAGACCTTTCCCTCCTCTCCCCTCCCCTCAATTAATTATGAACTGAGGCAATAATCCAAGGAACATGCAACTATCTTACACTGTGCACTAGAAAGCTGGTTAGCCATATACTGCAGTATTCCATAAAGAAAGGTCATCATCAAGACTGTCTTCTGGTCCTCTCAGCAAGCAGTAATTCAGGGAGTTAATAACTACTGACTACTACTGTAGTCAGTAACTACAGCTCCACAGGGAGAAATCTAGGGGCACAGGTTGCAGCTGCCTGTATTGAAGTTAACAAGAATAAAAGGTAGTCCAAGCTGATAGGGAATATTGCTATAAATAATGCATTTCATTGCTTCTCCCTGTGTTTTTAACTCGAAAGCCTGTCTGCAAGCAAAGCAACCAATTTTTTTTTCTTCTGCTAATTCTTATAGCTTCAACGATCCTGTATCTGAGAAGTAAACTGTACTACCTTCCAAGGTAATTTTCGTTGGATATATTTCCTTTTATGTAAGCATACAAGCAATGAAAGTCAGGAGAAACTTTAAAGCTTGTGTAGATAAGGCTTCATGGATAGAGTTGCACCCTGTCTGTACAGAAGATAGGTATAGACATGCATGTTAGCACATTAAAAAAATTATTAGTTGATGTGATCCAGGTTATAATGTTGATGTTAGTTTTAATAAATCTATTGAATATAAAAGCTATAGAGCATTAAAAACAACAACAACAAAAACAAAAACAGCAAATCCTTTCCCCAAGAAGCTTGATGTGTTCGTCTCTGTCAGGACATCAAGATTCACTGAAAATGCAGCATATTGCAGAAAGTCTTATCTTGCATCTGCTTGTCTTTGGACCATAAAGAAAATTCTCTGTGACATTAGCATGGACCAATGTAAAAAGTTTCATTTTATGACCTATCTAAGCAGGCTAGAACCTGTTTTGTCTAGAAATGTTTTCCAGGAGTATTCTCATTAGAGATGTTAAAATTACTGTGATTACTCCATTTCCTCATCTCCTGACAATAACGGAGCTCTTGATGCAGAACATGTGATCTTTTCTCAAGGGAAGTGTCATTAGCTCTTAAGATGACACTATTAGAAAGGTTGCAAACAGTATTTATTTAGTAGAAGTTCCTGGAAAAACCGAATAAAGTAATTAAAATAAAAATTAAATTTCCCACCATATAACATTGCATTTCTAATTTTCCTGAAAAAAGGCTTTTAAATACTGAATTTACTATAATATTCTAGTGTAACATTGTTTAGTTCTGTCTTTTAATCTGAAAGCAAGACTTTCAAGTTATTTTTACTTAGATTGCAAGGAAAATCCTACTTCCTACTCATATTTAGCCTCAGTTAACTATGAATGAATTAATTATAAATCCAAATTTTGACAAGCCTATGAGAATTAACAAGAATATCAAGATCAGTCACATAAATCTAATTATGTTTTCAATGACTGAGGGCATTATACTGAGAAAGAGACATGGAAGAAATGAAAAACAAGCAATAATTGATCAAACTTGCTAACTCCTACATATTGTGATTACCCTCAAGGCAGTATAATTCCATACCCTTCTGACTGCAAATCTAATGTCTGCATTATTTTATATATTATTTTATATATAGCTCTGTAAACTATACGCAAGTTAAAATACAAGAAGATTCCAGAAGGTTCAAGTGTTTTCTTGATACAAGTACATTCTTATTACACTTCACTCTCTCCTTTGTCTCAATTAGTTGGGAATATTCTGAGAAGCAAAGGATATCTGATTCAGTTAGCATTTCCAATATGTAGTCTTTTAAGAGTCCAGATAGCACTTGCAGTATATATATGATGCTCAATATTTAACTGAAAAGGTGTTAGACTCAAGGATTCAATGTGCTTTTATTTCTTGAGCATTCTATAGGAAATGTGTACCTATATTGCACAACTAACATTGACAAGCCATGTAATCAGAGAATGGAGCCACAAGGCACAAGCTGACTGACTGTACTAAGAGGAGAGTTCTAAGAGGTTGGAGGCTTGTTGGATCTGTATTGAATTTAATCATTACCACACTGCATATGCAGTACATGTACTTCATTACACCCTAATTAAAAATTGAAAGAGAGAAACATAATCAGTGTGAACTTTGCTTGAGCAAAACTAAATGTAATCCCTGAAGAAGTCAGATTAAAACTAACGCTCAAGCATCCTCCTATGTTTTGACACCGGCTAGGAAGAATGGCAGCCTGTAAAATGACATAATCAGAAGGAATGTATAGATTAAAGATAAGTACCATTTGGATACACAATGGACTGTTAAAGACTACATTTAGTGCAGTAGTGCTGGAACATTCAAACCTTTGGATGTAGATTTAGCAAAAGCTATTTGATTAGTCAGAACTCAGGTGTCTGCCGATCAAGCTGCTCCTGCCAAATCAAACCTTCTGCATACCACATAAGGGGATAAAGTCCCAGAGGTACACATAAAGAATATGCTGGGGAAGACAGACTGGGTCATTCCTGCCTCAGGCAAAGGCATGGGATTGCTTTTGCTCAAGGACCTGGGTGTATACGGTAGGTAATGTGGAAGGATGGGAATGCCCCTTTTGTATCTCAAGGTGATTTGGTATGGGGTGATACATGTTGGAAATATCCAAATAATTTTTGTCAGGATAGTATCTCTGATAAAAGCAGATTCTATTTGCAATTGCAATGGCGGGAGCACTCATAGGACTAGGACACAGTGACAGCTTTTGTACCTTGTTTCTCCCTGTGCCCATCCCCATCCCCCTCCTGTTTCCTCATTGGCTGAGTACTCCTAGTTCACAGTCTTATCAAAGTTTGCATTTGTTAATTGGGGTGTTATCTGGTGTCAGTCAGTAGCCATCCTGCTGTTTCCAAGATGTCTCAGTGCTCTTCCTGTATTGATAAAGTGCTTTTCTTCAAAGTCTTCATTAAACAAAAAGAGCCGGGGCATGGGAGGCTGCCAGGCCTTCCAGATGCTTTTTCAGGCGCTTCCTTGGGCACGCCATGACTTGTTTTCTGGTTTGATCAATCTCATGCAGGATACTCTCGCCTTGTGTATGATAAAATATACATATATACACCTTTATACTGAGCGTGCATTCTGGGGGAAGGCTCATGTACAGGAAAAGTGATGCAGCCTATCAGAGACCATCATCAAGTAAAGCAGAAAGACTCTCCAAAAGAACTATGGCAGTGGAGACCATGAAATAAAAAAAAATTATCCGATTCTAATGCAGAAATAACACTTGATTCCAACAACACTAACCTGTGAGCACATGAGACCAGCACATGAAGAGATTACTGAACCAAAAAGATCCAAT